CCGGAATTTTCGGTTCGGTGGTAAATGGAGCACGTTTCGTCGGTTCATCCCACTGGAAAATTCCCAGAAAAAGTGGAAAATCTGAAAAGGTGGGCCCGTTTTCCCGGTTGGAATTTCCGAACGGAATGTCGTGTTCCATTTCCGGCGTTTCTCGTAGTTTGTACCAGTTCCAGGTTCACCGTCGGACATCGCGACGTACCGGGGTTTACGACCAAATGGAACAACTTTTTACCAATCGGAAATTCCACTTTTACTCCCACCGAAATTTCCGGGTTTTTTTCCTAAATGGAAAGCGCCCTTAGAGCTAACTTTGATTTTGCCTTGTCTGCGAGCAAGCTCTCGGGTACGTGCGGGGGCTCGTTCGCAGCAAATTTTGCCTTTAGTAGGAAAACAAGACGCAACGCGTCAAGTCACAGTTTAAGCAAGGAAATTGTTGTTGTTGTTTTTCTATTTCTTTCTACATATATCTTTATTTACTTTATTTTTGTTCAGAGGACAGCTACCAAACTGACATCAAAATTGACGATGAATCAATCAAGGCTGAAGTGATCGACACAGCGGGAAACGTAAGTAGAGTGTCCTGCTATTCGATGACGGTATTTCCGACAAGTTGTAAGTTATGGCACTCAGTGGATCCTTAGCCTGCTAGCAAGCTCTCCATGGCGAGCGAAGCGAGATAACGCGCCAGCGTGTTGCTCTCGCGTGACTTCTCACGACTCCCCCAAAATGGAGAGCTTGTTCGCAGTCTAGTTGATCCTCAGTTTAGCTATAATATCTTAAAGTAAAGTAAATATCCCGGGGGGGGGGGTTACGTCTCAGTAACAGGCTAATAAGGATCGCGAAAATTACATTTTCCCAAAAGTGACTAAGTTCAGGGGTCTTTTAAAAGTAATTAGCCTGTTCAAGGCTCCATTCGCTCGTCTACACTGACTGACTGATTGGAAAAATGAAGGATATATTATAAACTGTGTTGAAAATTTGAAAATCGTTCACCCTCGTTCTTACGAGGCAATTTGCCTTCTGTGATTACCATTATCATTTTCTAATTTCCTCTGTGATGATTTACTCTTTCTTTAGGACGTGTTCCGACGCATGAGAGATCAATATATTAAAAGCGGTGATGGCTTCCTGTTGGTTTATTCGGTCACTGATCGCTGGAGCTTCCATGCTGTCACTGCCTTCCGTGAGCAAATCCTAGCAGTCAAGGGTCAAAAACACAAGATTCTCCCGGACATCCCTTTAATTTTGGTTGGCAACAAAGTAAGAGTAAATAAACTCAAACGATATGTTGCTTAATTCTATTTTATATATAACGTTTGTGTCCACGTCGGTGGTATAAAGGGGCCGGTTGGTCAACAATACCTTTAAGATTGAGACTTTTCAATCCAAAAACTGATTTGGCTTTTTTATACTAAAGTACAGTCAAACCTCTTTAATACTGATCATCGCAGTAAATTTTCCAATTAAAGCAATTGGAAAGAAGAAGCCTGAAAAAAAAAAAATCAGGGCTTCAACGGGATTCGAACCCGTGACCTCCGCCTTACCGGTGCGTTGCTCTACCAACTGAGCTATGAAGCCACAAATTGGGAGCGAGGTCAATTTACTAAAGTAAGCCAGGGAATATGTAAGCTGATGGTACTGAACTAAGGATACCACGAGTGGTACCGAGTGTCCGAGTGTTTCATTAGATCATTTCTGTTTCGAATTTTTAGATCTAATTAGCTATTTTTAGATTTAATTAGTTAAACGATCCATTACAAACTTTGGATTTTCTCTTGATTTTTTGTAACGAATTTAATTCTGTCAGCCATTCAATATGCGATTTAGAATCTTAAACTAACTTGGATGCTGACAAAGAAACGCCATAGCTGACTGACTTCGCAACAAAACAGAGCAATTCTGTGCCTTGTTATTCACTGAGATTCCTTCCTTAATTTCAGTGCGACTTAGAAGAAGAGCGAGTAGTTTCCTATCAAGATGCGAAGAAAATGGCTGAGAATTTTTCTTGCCCACTTTTTGAGACATCAGCCAAGAATGACACCTGTGTGGACGAAGTCTTTTCCTGTCTTGCTCGACAAATGAAAGCATCAAGGGCTGTATCCACAAGAAAAGCCTTCAAGCGAGATCAGCAGCGATCCTCATTAAGACACTTGCCGTTTAGAGAAAAAAAGTGCAAGGGAAGGCTTGACACGTTGAGGCAAAGTGAGTCGTCACCCTCCAGTGTGCCAACAAGGAGACGGGCTGGCTCCTTTCGAGGTTTTATTTGTGGAGCAAGAACGCTTGGTACAACTTAGAGCAAAACGCTTCTGTCTTTTAACGTGTCGTTTGGTAAAATTTACCCATTTTACTCTCAGAGCGAAACCTGGAAAGACTTTATGGGATCCAGCCTTTTGACTACATCGGATCCTGTGGGGCAAACATACCAATGACATTTGTAGGAAAAAGTTTGAAACTTTGCTCCAGATTATAACACGAATTGCCCATAAGGACCTCTTTTATGTCGTTTCTTCATTTATGATTTTTCATAGCTCCTTTGAGTTGAAGTGGTAGAACCACGCCCTGATAATAATGGGTATGCATGCATGTATGCAACTCACAAACAATTTCAAAAGGAATGGCAATCTTTGCGACTTCGTGAGCAGAATGTCAACTTTGTTTCCTTGTGAGTCACCTTATTGGAATTATAAGATCGATCTAGTCAGAAGATCGCCGTCCAATAAAATGAGAAGGCAAATACAAGACATAAGGCAGCTGTTGATAATACAAGGAATTAAAAAAAAAATTAACTGCAACAAGGGATTTGGTTTTCAAGTTATGACAAATGAATTTTTTAGGAAAAACACGCATGATCTCATGAGTTCGTTGCAACTCGTAGCGTTAACCCTTAAGTCCCACTAGTGACCAACATCAATTTTCTCCCAACGATATCAATGCATTATTAAGAGAAAGAGGAGTGAGAATTAATAAAATGATCACCAAAGGAAAAATGCTTCGCTCTTTTATCAAATTCTTCTAACTAATTCTTTAAGGAAATGTATGGAGATCAGTCGGGAGAATTTGTATGTTGATACTGGGGCTTAAAGGGTTAAGTATAAATGCTTGCCAAACGTCATGGTGTACGTTACCAAGTATAAGGCGGTTTTCAGGTACTGCTTTTTACCATGTTTTTGTTTACAAGTTAAAAATTGCTTTTGTTTTCATTAAAAAAAAAAAACACTTTTATTCTTATATATGGACCCTGTAGACTATGATGTAGATGTAAAAAATATATGTACAAAAGAACAGTTCCAGTTAATATAATTGGTGGAAGAAATAAATGCTTTCTATTCTATGTCCATGGTAATAAAGCAAAAACAAAAAAATTTACAATGCCATGCGAACCGTTTGTCACGTTTTACATTTCAAACATTTACCTTTTACGTGGAGCTACACTGATAACTTTTTGTTAGGCCCGGTTTAGGGATTAGGCGCCCGAACTTTTCATGAGGCGCACCTATTCCGACGCCGAAATTTTCATGTGCCGAACCTAATGCATAAGATACTATAACGTATTTTTGCAAGAAGTTTAAGTTACACAGCATTTTTCTCCTTTTGAATTTATAATTAGTTCAGCTGGAATTAAGATCGGCGTCTGGATCAATTGAGCCTGTCTAAATTATTCGGGTCGGCCCTAATTCGAATAGACCTTTTTACAGATACGGCGGCCATATTGAATTCATTAGATTTAAGGAGTATTATGGGATGCCTCGGGGGCACGAGCACAATCCGATATACTCGCTCAGTATTTACTCGCGCTTTTCGGGCCAATTTTTTTTTAAGTTGTCCTAGAAAATACATTGCAATGGCAAAAAAAAGATCGTTGTGTCGAGTTTGGATGTAATAATGATCGCCCTTTCCCGAGAAATATATATTTAAGTTCTCTTTTTGCCCAGAAAAGCGCGCAAAAATACTGAGCGAGACCCCTCCCCCCCCCCCCCCCCCCCCCCCACCCCCCCCCACCCCCACCCCCACACACAACACACACCCCCCACCCCCCCCCCCCAAACACACAACTGATGCACGTCATAAACTATCGTGCTGCCCACACGCGCTCGCTCTCAAAATTTTTTTTTTATGTTCTATAAAAAAAATATATTAAAAAAAAAAAAAGAATTGGTGGGGTGTGTTTGGTAGTAAAATACACCCCCCTTCCCCCAAAAAAAATTTTTTTTTGTTTTTTTTTCCCAAAAAAACCCGCAAAAAAAAAGAGCGACCCCCCCCCCCCCCCCCCCCCCAAGACATCCCAAAATACTCCATAAACCTAATAAGTTCAATATGGCCGCCGCGTCGGTAAAAAAGGTCTATTAGGTTCGGCTCATGAAAAGTTCGGCGTCTCAACCTCGTTATTGTTATTGATGATCACCGTTTTTATGTCTTTTGACCTGCTCAGTCTGTATGAACCTGGCCTTTATTAAGAATCTATAAATCTTAGTAAACTTTTAGCACGCAACGCCTTTTTTCTCGTTGACAAAAAAAATACTTATGGCGAGCCATTTGTTCCAAGGTGAAGTTTAAGAGATTTATTGTGATCTAAACATACCATATTTACAAATATCAAGCCTAACAATAGCAAACGACTTAAAGAACGGTTTTCACTTTCACTGATGCCAACAAGCATGCGCAAATTTTATATCACGTCAAATACAATCGGCAAAAAGCCACTACTTCAGTGCTACTTGCTTGAACCTGCGTGGCTGGCACGAATCATCGCTCGCGACTGCTTCATTTCAAGGGTACCTCCCGAGAGTTTTCTTCTATTCCACGGGAGCTTCTGTTGTCCTTTTCCTAGTACTTCTATGAAACATGTGGTTACACTTCTTTAGTAATCTCTCTTTTCTCTAGCCAGTGCGCCAGCGTCCTTCCCTATATCCATTAACCAAGCTCTCCAGATCATGCGCGTACGAGCCTCCCAAACTTTTACGTTGATGTCGCCTTGAAATACATGGTTTGTTTCGGGTCTTTCACACCCAACGATCTCTATAGCGATGCATTTCCCTGTACATCAACTGCGGCAGCGCTTTGATTTCTTTCCTTCTCTTTCTTCCCTGAATGTAGGTGGCGGTCAGAATAACAATTCCCACAAGAACAATAGACAGCATAATCCAGCCTCCTATCTGTGAAAAAAAAAAAGATTGGAAAGAAAAACTGTTTTATTCTCATTTTTACGAAAAGTTTCTCATTAGAATGAGTGTAGCGAGAACAAAACTTTCACGTAGCTAACTACGTCACGGTTTAGTGGTGTACGAGTTTGTGTAAATTTCTTTCATAATTATTTAGGTAAGACGCTATGATCAAGCAAGGACGTTACGCCCCCCATTTAGCCTGCGATAGCAATATACATGAAACTCAAATTGTTTGTGAAAATAAAAATTGCCGGTAATCATCCCTAACGGTAGGGGAACTGCACTTTAATTAACAATCAATATAAGCGATCCATCTGGTGACGTGTTCTTTCTTTTAAGTTATTCGCTGACTAGTTATTGGTTTTAACTAATCGCAGGCTCAGGTCCATAATAAAAAGGCCATATAATGAATAACTTATTAAACTCGTCCTTTCGGTCATTACAAGGAAATCTCCGACCTCGGCCTTGACGTATTGACCGAGCGATAAGTGGCATATAAAGACTATGGTCATCCGTTAACAAATATATAAGCTGGATGTTGTAATTATACTCTGACTATTATAGAGTTGCATACTAAATAATGTCGTCTTTCGCTTCCTTTGATAGATATGCGAACAAAAATAAAGATTCTGTGATCAGTTTCCTTGACAAACAGTTGGCGTTTTTGAAGATTTATGGACTGCGTACAGTAGCCTTAAAACGTTTTTAGTTTATTATTCTAGAGGGGCTTTGCTTTATTACAGACTGCTGTTTACTCAGTGATAGACCTTCAACTGTGCCAGGATCGATGTAGACTATTTCACCATAACTGGTGAATCAGTCCATGTGTAGATACCATAATTATATATCTAGCCGATTTGTTTGAAAACCAACCTAACGAAATTTGTAGATTTGAGTGAAAAGGCGTCGGAAGGCAGACTTTTTGGGCCCGATATATAAACTCCAAAATCACACTAACCAAGGAAAAAGAAAGGGGAAAAAGAAAGAGCGAAGAGGAGGAAAGGAGGTGAAGAGAAAAAACAATGGAAACGTTGCACTCTTAGTTTTATAACGGCTTCTTTGGAGATTGTTTTTGGCGGAAAAAAACTGTTGGACGCAAAAGGTCTATATAATTATTTGGCGGTGACGTTTTCAAAAATCCGGCTAGAGATATAGACTACGAAGAACAGGTCTCATGCGTCTTAATGAAAATAAAAAGCCACTACCGATCGAGTAAAGACTCACTGAGTGATTTTATTTTGGTCTAATAACTAATAACGCTACAACATTTTTAAAAATAGTTGTCAGTCTAGCAGTGTTATTATTATATTGTTCGTAAGCCTTCTGGACCTTTTAAGCCGTCGGCGAAGAAATATGTACATTATAAGGATCTATATTGTTCTTGTCGACTTCACAACTTGCAATTCTAATTCAAGGTAGCTAAAAGAGAAATTCATGATCAGTGGCCGGAAAATGCAAAATTGGAGAGCATTATATTTGTTGATGTTGTAAATCCATCCTAAAAAAATAACCTCTTTTTACTTACGTTTAGGTAAAAATCCACCCAGCGAGTGACATATGTATCACAAGCGTCTGAATCGCATTCGTCATTAACATCAGTCTGTCCGCCATGTGAATTTTTCGTTGAATTAAAAGTCGAGTTGCTTAACCGGTACACTGAAGTTAGAACCGCTGAAGATGACTCAATCATGCTCGCGGGGAGTTTATAACCACCAACATGTCCTGCGGAAACTGTAGTAGAAGTAGAAAACTCAGGCGTGGGTGAAGAGCGGATACTCAAAGTGGTAGTTTGGACACTTCTAGCAATAAAAGCCACTCTTTGCGTCGCCCATGGTGCACTTAAATCTTTTGATGTGGCAGTTGTCATTTCAAAATGTTGTGTTTGCTCAGGTGATATTCTTAACTTGATCGCAGAAATCGCGTCAGTGGCAAAGATAGCTCCTTTTAAGCCATCAAACTGCCTGAGATCAGAACTGTTAATAATTGTACTTGTAGCCCGTGCTAATGACGATGTTATTACCACAGACGATGTACTTAGGGCTTCTTTTGCTCCAGCCTTCATGAAACCCGCAAATAACAATAACAAATGTATGAAACTCATTGCAAAAAAACACAGTTTTTGCAACGATGACTGATAGCAATATTTAACAGCGTTTAAAGTCTTTCTGATCCTTTTGTATAATGGACGGTGCAATTTTGGGGGAATCAGACGATAAAATCGCTGATCTACCGATCAAAGTGCACTAAGACGAAAAAGCTTATCTTCATATTTAATATACACGAGAGTTTCATTTGCATTTTGAAAATGAATTTTTGAACTGCTAAGTAAACACCGCGTTGATATCTTGTTGTGCGTTTTTGTTTTCTAGAAACAATTATGCTCATCTCCAAAACATTAATAAGTCATTAAGGCATTATGACCAAGCATTCTGTCGGCCTCTTTTCTGGTAGTTGTGGCAACGAACACGTATGGTGCGGATAGGTTTTTTAAAACTAGTAAATTATTCACATCAAAATATACTTTGCTCAGGATACAGGCTCAAATTCGTATTCTGATATCTTACTGTGGATATTAGGTTATATAATTATGCAACAGAACCCCGTGACAATAATTTTGCTATCTTTGCGTTGAAGTAAATATTTTCATTCGAACACTAAAAACAATAATCATTATGAAGATTTTCAGTTCACGTGCTTACGTCGGGTATTTATTTAATTGGTCCCAAGTCGAATAGTTATAGTGTACGAAGTTGGAGTTAAATAACCTTTCCTCTCACTGAGTTGAAGTGAAATATTCATTATGGAGGGGTTTATTTTCGGAACTTTCGGTATTATACACTCAATTTTAACGTAAAAGAGAGGTAATTTTAAAATGGTCTTAATGCGGTCCAGAGAATGCAGATAGCCAACATCTTTTAACAAACAAAAAAGAGAAAAAAAAAAACAGATTAACTGTCCCGATTTCTGATTTTCAAAGGCAAAAATGATTAAAAATTCTTCAGTTTCTTCTTCATCCTGAAATGTGGAAGATCGCCTTGAGTTCATGAATTGTAGTGAATTTGTTGGCCGTCAAACCGACCCAGGAGAGATACGCCCTATAATGCCATATACGGAGAGGTTGTACCCGAAAGAGTACGTTTTTCAGGCTATATGAAAGGGTAGGAATTTCCATCATCTTTTTGGTCTGTAAAAAGGACTCACAGAGGATTGCTGTAAAAAAGTCAAGAAGAACGTTCTTATTCGAGGTGTATTCATACTTTAAAGAGAGTGCATTTACAGCAGTTAAAAAGGATGCAGAACTATAAACAAGGTAAGTGAAAGGGGTACCATTTTTCAGTAGAAGTTATAAGAAAGGGGTACCTTATTTGCCAAAAAACAGTGAATAAAAGTGTAAGGGGTTGGACCTCGGAGCGGACCCTCCCCGTATAAAACTTTGTTGAGTACCCTCCCCCCCCCCCGCCCCAAAGGGACTGATGGATACAAACAATTCGTCAGTCTATTATATAAATTTAAATGCTTACACTGACACAACATTGCACAACTTCATTCACCACTGTTAAGCGTGGGAAATCTGCCCAGCTCTTCAGACTAGATTTCAGTGACTAAAAATCCGACTGAATTAGAAATTTGATAAAGTTAAGACTGTAGTCGACATGTAGCGATTATAGTGCATTTTTCTACTTCAAGTTGCCTCACCGTATCCAAAGTTTTAATTTGCACATCCTCCTTCTCTACCTGAATATGACACGGTTTTTGATAGAAGGGTTTTTTTTCCTCAAATATCTGTTAATGAACGGTTGGTTCGCATGTTTGCTTCAAGTGTTTAGGTTAACTTTATTCTATATACCCCCATATCCATCGGTGTAAATTATCAGGGCACAGGAATGAATATATTAACGGAACCAATTTCCTTTTGTGGTCACACGCTCATACTTGGCTTGTGTTCAATTCTATGAGAGATTCACCACTACCTGTAGTCTGTTACACGGCCGTTTTTAGCGTCGTCACAAGGGAGGAGCGTTGCGTGACGACACTAAAAACGGCTGTGTAGCAGACTACCAGTATGCTACCTGCAAATACTAGCATAATGAACCATGAGAAATAGTTTTAATATCTGTTGATTAGCACTGAACTTGTTCGTGCATAAAAATTATACAAATATTTTTAATATCTGTTGATTAGCACTGAACTTGTTAGTGCATAAAAATTAGAGGAATTCGGGGAACTGGGTAAAACGTCTTGATCAAATGCACGCCCATAAGTTGGGGACCGAAAATTACGCGTTTACTCTCTGGCGTTTCAAACTAGATTTTAAGAGTGTCGCAAATCTATTTTTATAAAGCCATTTGAATATTGCACTTGTTTTTATTTCATGAGTGATAGACAGGGGGCTATTCAAACGAGATTGCATCTTATTTTATTATGGAGCTAGACTTGATTTCCGCCGCTGTCTCGGGTCTGGTCTTGTTCCTCGGCGGGCTCAAATTCCCGGACAGCGGATGGATATCGTGCCTAGAAAGGGATTGGCAAAAGAGACTACCAGTAGTTCCGTGGGGTATTAGGACCCGTCCATAATAATTCCATCAATTCCTTTAAGACTTCGTGCCGGTTGGCTTGTAATTGTTTCAAAGTGCCGTTTCTCCTTGAGTGCATTTCTATTAATTACATTTAGAGTAAAAAAAATTCAATTGACGATCCGATTTTTCAATCTTTTATAAATATCTGTAGAAAGGTTGATTAGTTTGCATGTTTCGAGGGTGTTTTTTGTTTATCCCAAATACATTTTTGAATTATCTTCGCACAGGAATAAGATATTATAATAATTAAAGCAAATATTCCTGTTCTAAGTGGTCACACGTTCATGCTTAGCTTGTGTTCAATTCTATAGGAAATTAATCTCTTTTTGTTACCTGCAAATATTTTGATTTTCGAACCACTGGATATTTTTGTAATATCCGTGGCATGGATTCGCACTGACTTTGACGATCAGTACGGCGAGATATAAACGAGAAGAGTGGAATGAAGAAGACTTGTATTGCTCGAATCTTCAACTTGACTCATGTTTGGCAATGCAGGTGAAAAGAACAAGCGAAGACCATTTATGTCATTAAAGATTAATCGTTGACAGTTCTAAAAAACGCATGCCTTTATTTTATTTCAAGGAACTAACGAATTAGTTTATCGACCAAAAAGCCCGGAGTGCGGTTCAATCTGAAAGACAAACTGATAATGTTTCTGATTCCAACGGGCTTGATTAAGCTAAATCCTTTATGAAAGCATAAATTGACAACCAAGAAACCATGAAATGTGGACACTTTTTTAAGCCAAGTAGTTATCATGGCGATTCATTTAAGGACACTGTTTTGGAGTCTTATTATTGCCACGGCGATTTGCATTGTGTTTTATGGAAAGGAAAGATTTTTCTCCACACCATCCTGCCCCAAGGCAAATGGCAAGTAAGTAATAATAATTTATCACAGGCAACAGTAAATTTCATTGAGAGAGGTGCTTCGAAGCCCATTATACGATCGAGAAGCTGAATTTGATTTTAAACACGAATGCTTTAAGAGCAACTCCTAGGGCTCCTTTATTCAGTGAAATAATTTGTCTTTTTCAACCTCGGTCAACATTATCCAAACAGTGTCTAACATTTGTTGGATTGGGTATCGCATCCAACAATGACTTGATTGAGAAAAATTGGATCAACATGTTGGATATCGAATCGTTTAACTAAACGGGCGTTTACTAAGCAAATTCCTGGTCCATATTGTCAGCTTCTAGCAATATTTAGCCCTAAACGCGAATTTGAGGGCTATTAGATGAGGCAACGTTAATTAAACATTTTAGTTTATGCATGGCTGCTTAATTCGGGCAAGGAGAAACACAAGCAAGCCATTCATCTACAGTAGATTACTGATCTCCTAATTAGTACTACCCAGGGTCTTCATTTTGTTCCCCGTTCCAGGGGAGGAAAGAGGAGAGACCCTGGAAACGAGGTAGGCTGAAATTTTTAAAAAAATCAATGCGGCGTGCACGTTAATTACTCTTCTTGTAGATGATCTTTTATACTTCATCGTTTCTCCTCATCAATTCAGTCCCTGACTAAACAATGCTTCGTTGCTCTTTCACGTTGACTTCCTCTTGCAACAACGACCTGCTTTATGGTCAACAACAGCATGCATTGACTGCTTCTTATTTCTGCCTTAATGTAACAAATAAACTTGTAAATGACATGATAGATTTGGGTTATTACTGCATACGACCACAACAACAACAACAACAACAACAAATAAACAAACAAAAACCAAGTATCGAGTTCTGAATGTATCGTGTTTTAGCCCATTTGAAAATGCAGGATACATATTTCGTGACAAAAAGACCATTTTCGAGTTGCCCAAACCTTGTTTTAGAAACGAGGGCGATTGTGATTTCATTGTAGGAGATTTTTGAAGTTGTTTTGGCCTCTTTTTCACAGTGAGTGTTTGGAAAATTCCAAAATGATGATCCAGTGCTCTCTATTACATACACCACAGTTTTTAAAACTAACATGGCGAAGAAGCATGATCATGTGACATGTTTACGTATCGCCCCATGTAAGACAATCCAAGTCAATTTTGGATTATGAATTCCATGCTGTGGACTCTGGACTCCAGGTATTGGATTCCGGATTTATTTGAATTTGGATTCCGGATTCCAATTGTTAGCGGGATTCCGGATTCCTTGAGTTGGATTCCAGATTTCAAAGCCCAGGATTCCAGATTCCTCAAGAAAACTTTTCCCAGATTGCGGAATCCAGATTAACTTACATTAGGCGACATGTGGATTTCTGGAATCAATCCGACCAGTTCGACAATAAGTTCTGCTAATTATAATAACATTGTAACTATATATATTGAAATACAGAAGAGCCACTTAGTAAGCCAAGGGTTTAGACCAAGTTGCTTGTAACATCTATAGATAGCATACGATTTGTTTGTTTATTTATTGAGTCATTTTTTGTTTGCCTTCTAAACAGAATTCTGATAGCACGAGATTCGATAATCCATTCAGCGGAATCAATGC